AGGCACGCGACGCCTCCAATCCAATCATATTTTGTTCATAATAATCGTTATTGTGCTGTATCCGGCTAAATAGCTTATTTTATTTAATTTGGGGTCGCTGAAGAATCCGAATCTGGAATCAGATTATGGTAAAATGAACGATTTAATATTATTTTAAACTTATATTATTTAGAGTTCCAACCTATCACAATCTCGATCGTCAAACAGCTGATGGTAGTAACGCTTGGTACATCCCTATCAATGTGCTTGTCGAAGCACTCTCCATGACCATCCATCAAGTTGACGAAAGAAGTAAAAAGCAACTGGTGAATGTCGTCTTTGGTGGTGATCCATCACAGATCTGCTCATTTCCGGCAATCACGACACTCATCTGTGTTCGTTTTGAAGTAGTTGCTGCTTTGCTTGCTTATGTGAGTGAGCTGAAAAGCCTCCGTTTAGTTTTGCTACCTTTGTTTGTAAATCACACAGGCGCGCGGAGAAGAAATTGAAATGCGTAGGCATTGTTTTCATTTTCTTCTGTCGTTTCGCTTTTTCTCATCATCGTACTGCAGAAGTTTTCACTGTTGTCTTTGTGTTTTACATCATCAGCAGCGAGTGTTACGTTTTGCCTATCAGCAGCGACCATTACTGATGATTGTTGTTTACCATGGCTCTGCTTCTCGCTGTGTGACAAAACGGTCTGTCAACGATAGTCGGTTGGCGAGTGTCGAGTGAGTGTCATGATATTTTGCATCACTAATATTATTTGCCTATTATGTGTGTATTTTAATTATTTTACGACAAAAAAGCTAGATTTTCGAAAACCACATATTTTGTTAAAAATTTAACACCATATTCTTGTTCAGCGAACGCAAACTAAGTATAAATGCTATCTTCTGAATATAAAATTGAAAACCTGCATGTCAACTTCTCCCCAGATTTAAAAAAAAAACAAGTTATGAATCTAATTTTAATTCTAAAAAATAAACACAAATACTATTCCAAAACTAAATTCATACATTAGAAAAGCATTAACTAATTCAAGTTAGAGTCTTTGTTCGTGTGCCAAACATATGGTTGGAAAAAATATTCAATATTCAATAGTGATCAACTTCCCCCCCGTTTTACGGTAATTGTTTTGGGTCCAAAACATTGATATTTTTGCAAAGTACACTCAACTGGGGAAGATAAGATCCTTTAACAGTTTTGTATAAAAAAATAAGAGATTCTGTTATGTGGTCGTCGGAATATTTTTCAAACAATTGGGGTAAATTTTTCTTAGCTATTGTTATGAAGTACAAATAAGGGTCCGATGTTGGCAACACACACAGTTTTTGACTTTGGAACTTTCTAAAACTTTTAATAATTGCAAAATTGATTATCTGATCACGTCCAAAGCACTACAATTATCTGGAAAGTCTCAGAAAATTTGAAATAGGTTTTGAGGTTTTGTAGTACACAACACATGCAAAATATACATTTGAAACGTACTGTTAAACTAGAATCCAAAGTGTGCAGTTATACTAGCGTAGATTTGATATTACATTAATATTTTTTATTTTGAACTTGGTAAAACGACGTGCTTTTTTGTATAAATATATCGAAAAGGCTGCATAATTATAAATATGCAGCAGAGTGAAACTGTTGACTGTTAAGTGGTGATAGGACTTTCAGGGTTGCCAATCTCATGGGATACTTGATTGGCACGGTTCGGCACAACTAAAACATTCGGCCCAGATTGAGGTGTGCAGAGTTGATTACCATTTGAAAATTAATAGGTTACTTAGATATTCCATTTTCATGTCGGTTTAAAAAGTGTGTTCAGTAACAGCCCCCTGCAGTTAACCCCCAAGGTCTAGCCAAGATCTACCACCGTGATTTTTCAGTTTTTTTTCCTCTGTGCGGGACATAAACCCACTGCGACCAGTTATTTGATCTATTGTGGTATACCCCGTGTCCTTTGTCATCACTATTGAGAAATGAAGAAGTAATCAGTTTTGATACAGTTGTCATTCTTGTCTTTATCGCAAGGATCCGACTTTAATTGTAAGGTCACACTCTTTAAACCCTTTGGAGTGTTGGAACACCTCCAAAGGCGCGCCTCTTTTGCAGTCAAAAACGGATTCTTTAGCAACAACATCAAGCAATAACACCGATAATGACCATGCATCAGAATCCTAGTCTTAACCACTTCAAACTAGAGAACAGCAAATAAAAGATTAGGAATCACGTAGATAAAAAATAACTACCTAACTCATTTGTTCCTTGTTTTAAGATCATCCTCGGTGGACAAAGCCGAGTCTTTTCACTATCAACATGGCATACAAACTAAAAAGGACTAAGATGTGTTCCTTTGATTACAAAACAATTCTGTTCTCCTAGTTTGAAGTAGTTCGAACCAGGCTTCGGTGGTAGATCTTAATGCCAGTAACGCACCACGAAAAGGTAATCTACCAAGCGTTACTGAACGGCCCTTATATTTGACATTGACGGTGGATGTCAAAATGACGAGGTATGGTGTCCGACTTTCAGTCGAATAATCGATTAATCGATAAACGATCCGAAAAATCAGTTATTTGTATTATCATGACCGTGAAAGAGGACACAGACAGTTTTTATCTTCCGACTGTTTCATTTTAGTATTCTTCTTTACATAAACATCAACACCTCAAATCACAGAGTCAAATCAAATCACACACCAAAACCCGTCATGCTACATTTCAAATTACAGATAAATTCAAAACTAAGGTCATATTGTTTGTTCAATATCTTCACAAATATCGAGCATTCATCCAAACAACCTAAGAAATAATTTCGATACTGTTCCGAAAAGAAACGATGATGTTTTCTGTAGCAAATTTCATATGACGTTATCTGCACTGAGGCAAACAAACTTAGGAATTTCAAAAGGCTCAACTTACGAACGACACATATGAATTTCATAAGCGTGACTTACGAATGATTGTCGTCTAACATGAGGTTGCTCTTATACGCCTTTAATCATATCGTTTTCCCAAGCGTTGAAAGACGAGTGGACAACACACGGGCTCTGTAATCTTAACGTCCTTGTTCGGTTCCAGTCTACTCCGTTTTACTATTTTTTTTTTGCCAACATTATTTTTCATATGGCATATCAATGAAATTCATTCCGTTTTTTTGTGTAAAACATGTCACAAACATCAACACAATATTTTTGTTTAATTTACGTGACCTTACTTGAATTCTAGTTGAAATTGCGATATTTTTACGGCCACCAATGTGATACGCCGCCGCCGCCGATGAAATAACCGGCGCACAGGTCTAGTGGTGATCGCTTTTCAGTGTCAACTTAAAAAAAAAAATATTTCTTAAATCATCTATTGTTGGCTGAAAATTCGAAGAATTCTTCAAATGTTCAAGTTACTGTATTTCTTGGTCATAAAAGATTTCGTTTATTTTTTCAGTGAGGAAAATGCGATGTTAATTAGGATTAAGGTAATGGATGCATTTTGACACACTATCATATTTCAAGACCAACAATTGAAATGGCCTTAACTCCATTTTGTAAACAAACCTTGTAAGGCCATTTTCTCGCGAACCGAAGTCCGCAAAGGCAAACCAACATAATGAACAGGTAGGGGAAATTCTCCTCTACACGATTGTGGTTTAGGTTTGCGAATGAAGGTTTCGGTTCGCGAGAAAATGGCCTTGCAAGGTTTGCTTACATAATGGAGTTAAGGCCATTTCAATTGGTGGTTTAGCTATACTTTGCACATTTTACCACATAAAATTAATAAAATTTTAAAATATTATGAAAACTACATGAACATTATTACACTACTTAACGTCTTCCATTTTTGTTTTCAGTCAAATATTACATTTAATCGGTCCAAACTCAATAGGAGGTGGTATAATTGAATCCATCAATATTTTCTGGGGGTCATCAATACATGGTGGCTCCTTACTAAAATTGATTATCCGATGGAATATTCCGAGTCAAATCACCACTACCTTAACAAACGTTGCCGAGGAACAGGTCCCATCTGCCCCAACAGAAGGGAAAAATGAGGGGAAATATTGTAACATGAAATCAAACTTTTTTTTGATTTTGCGTCAATATGTTCATCAATATTTCGCCGTCAAGATTTGCATCTATATGATTGTCAATACTTTTGAGCATCTCAGCGTGCCGAGACTGTGAATGATTTTTCAGTGATTGTTCCATTTTTAAGTACATTCGTTTCAAAAATTTTTTTTTTTGATTAAGAGAATCGTTCATTTGTTATAGCTTTAATTACAACATTAAATGTGAAATTGATATTGAGAAAAATGTATAATACTTAACATACGTGTAAGTATCACCCTAACAAACTCTATGGCTGAATCAAAAATGACTCACTCGCTAATTCTATTCATTCGGGCTGGCACTCGGCATAGTATGTGTTTCAGATTCTTTCATTTTCTCGCAGTTTTCGATCATTTTTTGTCGATTCCAAATTTACGTCTAGACTGCTTGATGGAGTTACATTTGCTGAACACTCTTCTAGCAACCGAGAATGACTAATGACTTTAGGGAATATAACAATGTTTTAAATTATTATTATTTTCTCAATGATAGAAAATTTCGCTGGATCGTCTCTTAAAGTAGCAATTATTTTTTTCTGTTGTTCCATTTTAGCAAAATATTTTTTAAAGCTTTATTAATGAGATTTTTAGCCGTAAGCATCTCTGTTTATTTTTTTACAAAAGAACGACTTATGAAAATCTGTAATCTGGATGTTGTTTGTTTTGTTATAATTATTTTTCAGTAGTACACATTTGAAATATACTTCAGCTTCGTCTTGGCACACACACACACTAACACTGGATCGGAGCTTATTTTAAATGTATAAGTTTGAATTCAAACATTTTATTCCAACAATATTATAATTAAAGATTTTGAGACCAAACAAAATCCACACTTCACGAATATCGTAAACGCGTTTCACACACCTTTTCCAAACGAAGGATGCTATTCACTAACGACACAAATGTTCACTTACCGACTGATCTGTGACTTCGAACGACGTAATGTTGCGATTCTTCATGGACACCAGCGCCGGTGAGGTGTAAGCTGACGAGAATCCTACAACCATGGAACCAAGCGATACCGATAGAGCTGCCAAGACCTTAACGTTTCAATGATAGAAAGAAGAGAAAACCATCGATTAGTTACACTCATGAATCTTTGGAAACTTTTCACCACCATTTGAGTTTGAGTTCTGATACTAGAAGAGAAAAACAGAGTATAAACCTGCGAAAATGTGCACTTGGCAACCGGTTCTTCCGCTGGTACGGTAAACGACACGTGGGTGTCTGCACGCATCAACAGCTTCACCATCTTGGGGGCTGAGGGCTACACAAGCCACGGACTATGCTAGCTGAGATTCAACTCCTTATCAATTATGTTGCACTCTGTGTGCTTTCGGTCCCGAATGTCAAAAGCTGCAAAGAGTTATTGCAATTCGTTGTTAAACGTTTTCTGCTTGATCACTTCGATCCCGATCCCGATTCGATCGTACAGTTTCGTTGAGGTGCTCTTCGTGATACAAGTGTCGGATCGAATCCTCCAGAAGGGAACCGTACGGTTGTTCTATTCAAGACCATTCAAATGTTATCAGCGCGCGCGCCCGAGTACAAACTATCAACTGAAGTTGTTTAAACTTTGATAGACAGTTTTATACAGGTCCAATGGAGCCAACGACGACGACAGATCGACGGTGATCGGTCAGCACTTCCGAACGGTGACTGCATATTGAATATATGAGTACTTTTTAAAGAATGGATGATGCGAGTTATGTGTGACCGTACAGCATAAACTCGTGCTCGCAATTGTCCAACGCTAGACGAGACAATGTGTGCGACGCGTATTTCGCTGCCAGTAATTCGGCGCGATGGAAATTAAATACAGTATGTGTCCAATTTCGGGGGGGTGTGGTCAGAATTAGTTAGCGGTTTTTTTTTTGGATAATGAGCCAATAAATGAACTAACAAGTTAGTATGATTTACATTAGGTGGATTTACATTGAATAAACATGAACAATATTTTACACTGATTTGGAATATAAAATCTTCAAGTGATCAAATTTATTTGCAGTTGTCAAAACTTGGATACCAACTGTACAGCGGACAGTGATTGTTTATTTTTACGTTGTCCTTCTGCTCTCTCGTATTGTATATTGGCCGAATCTCTCTGTGCGTACTAATTCAAAATCGTCGTATGATTTGCCGGGATATGAAAGACGTATACGCATAATGTAATATACGGAGAGGGGTGAGGGTATTGCTTTCCTCCCAGCATACCATATATGTGTACACATATGTCCCCATGATAATCGATTTGACTGTAAATCGCAGCTTCGGGAATTGAGAGCAGTGGCAGCAGAAGCAACAGCATCATCATCATCATCATCATCATCATTATCATCATCATCATCGGCGTTAAAGAGTGACAATCAATCGATTTGAGAAGCACACAAATCGAACATACATACATTCATGATGTAATCCAATTTGGTGCACGGGTGGTTGAAGGGTGAATAAGGCAACTACGAATCTGTTGATTGTAGCAATTCAGGACACGTAAACGAGACTTTGAGTTGCAGTTGAAGCAATCAGGTGTGGGATGTTAAACTCGTATTATTAATTTCTGCTATACTAAATGGAGCTGAATGTGCTAACATGGATAAACTTCTTTTCAACATTGAATTGAAAATAAGTATTTTAACGAAATTGACTCACTCTACTTCTTATTATAGATTTCTAAACTGGAACCATAAGGGCCAATTAGTTACGATAAACATCAAATTGAGGTATCAATCGAAAGTTCATGTAAGCTGCGACAATGTTTGATTATTCTTCTTCTTCTTCATCTTCGCATTTCAAGATTGCTTATCGCATATTAGCTTATTGCGTGCTGTCAACTTAATGTTCTAGATGCACTTTCACAGCTATTAATTGAAAGATTTCGATGCCTGCACCATTGTTGCGTTAATTGTTTAGCAAGAACAATCATACTCTATGCCCAGGGAACTCGGGAAATTTTCCAACCCAAAAACCCGGGAATCGAACCCAGTCACCTCCATCATGGGCTTGTTTTCTAGCTACGCCTTTACCGACTGAGCTAAGGCAAGCTCCCGTGGTATGTAATGCATACACTGTGAATATACTTATGCAAAATTTTCGCCTTCAACTGGTTTAGAACCAGTTGTCGATTAACCTCCCAAAATACGACTGAATATTTGAATTGTGAAACCGGGATTTTTCTTATATTTACCAGGAAACACGGGAAAACCCTTGACTTTTTTTTTAATAAAAATTGTTTGTAATCTTTACAATTTTCATTTTATCCATTTTGTTTAGATAAACATGATTTTCAATCCAAATGTTGCCGGTGTTTACGCATGAAGGCATATAGTAAATTTTAATCTCTGATGAGGCTATACATTTGAATATTTGAAAGTGTTGGAATTAAAAATTGTCTAAAGTTTATCTACGGTTTTTGAAATCGTTGAATGATCAACCAATAAACAATGTTTCACTTCTAGAAAATAATCCAGCTCAAATAAATCATGCAAATGAAACCACAAATTTGTTTATTTCAATTTCAGTTCCTCCGAAAATTGCTAAAAAAAAGACTTTGGAATTATTTAAAATATTAGGTTGTGCAATTTTTAGAATAAGCCTACGCAAAACGATATAAAATACACCCCCTGATGAGAGCTATTGCTATTTCCTATTTAGGATCATGTTTCGCTTTTTACCTCATTGAGAAATTTGGTCATATCAGCAGATATCCGATGTCATGCAAATTACTGCTGTACATTCCCGATTAATGCTAGAACATCTGTTCCGCATATTCACATACCAACTAGGTTCCTAGGATTTCTGCTTAAAAAAAACTATCAACATCCTAACTACAAATATCAAATCACAAATTTCTCTTATCACCGATCATCTAATAGTTGAATACCTCATAGCACTCGGGAATCTCAATCCACATTTTCTACCGCTATCAAGATCAAGTCTGCGTATGGCTACCAACTGTCCGGCGAAATGAGAGCAGTCTCCTCATCCTCTTCACACCAGCGATAATAAATCACACAAAGCCACCGCACATAATCATCACCATGTTGTACCCACTACTGCTTTTCTACACAGTGCTTCACAGACGTGGAAAATGCAAGCAGAAATCGAATAAAACTTTCCACTATCTTCTTGATGGTAGTATTCTTGCTTTCTTTTCGTACTTCTCGGGCGGAATTGCAACTTCAACTTATTCTAGCTCAACTTTAAAAACGAAAAAGCTCGATTACAATGTCTCAAGGCACGCACCATTCCAACTGTTGCCATATGTGGACAAATGGACCAACTTTTTGGCGATGGCTGGTTTCGTGTAAATTTTTCACTTTTCTTCCAATATTTTCCACACTTCACCACAAAAAGATAATAGCCAAAGATCCCAGACCACGCTGGATGTTTCCGGATGTACGGTTCCTGATAAACAGAAATTCCACCGTAAAACGTTGGCTGCTCCGTTGTATTTCCACACCCGGCGAATTGCACTTGGCCCGAAATCAGCCAATATGATGATGCTGCCAAAATCTCCAAAAAGGGCAACTCGCAAAGGGAAAAGATTTCCTTGTCTGGTCAGCATGTAAAAGTCACACAATCTCGTCGTTCGCAAGCCAAAGGATAATTGAGAACGAGAGGATAAGCCGACAACTGGACAAGCCATCCATCAGCTGGAAAATTCAAATATCCCCACCCAACATCTCCATCTCGCATCTCCGCGACGAAAGGATTCAATCGTTCCCGCTTTCAAAACAATCGAACCGAAACGTGTTCGTTTCCGTTGGATATGTGTAGGTGCAATCGCTCTGCAAGTGACGCATGAGAAGCACCATGCGCCCACATTGTCGATACCAACTCTTTTATGCTTTGCTGATTCAATGAGACAAATTGAAATCCTACAATCGCTTCAATTGACCGTGTATGGTAATTGGTGCTTGGGGCCACCCTACTAGCGGGTGCGGAGCGCAAACCAAGTCCGACGCGTGCTGCATTCAAGTGTGAATAATGACTCTGGTGTGAAAGTGAATTGGATAAATATTCGATTGGCATTGACTCATTCGAATGTACCGTTTTTTTTTTCGGGGGCTTGTCCGCCGCAGAAATAGACGAGCCCCCGTTCTTTTTAAGGCCACTGAATTCCTTAATTGATAGCATTGATGATGCGTGGTAACGTCAAGTTGGGTGTTTTTCAATTAGAACTGATTAAGATCAAGCAATTCGACCCGGCTTGAGGCAAATTTTGGCAGTAGTGAGTGGCTTTGGTAGGCAAATACGATTGAAGTCAGAGTTTTAAATCGTTGCCGATTGAAAAATTTGTTAGACACACTGAAAGTAAAAAATGAGGTTTCATGAAATCATTCGTTTGCTTTAAAAAAGGTTTTTCGGATTTATGATAGTATTTTCCACTTGCAAGATGCAAGAAGAGATCGTAAAGTATGTGTTTAACACATCAAGCCTGTCAATTTTTCTTTCAAAGAGTTTTTTTTCCGTGTTGGGTGTATTCACCCATGCGAACATTACTTTGACCTATTGTGATAGAGTCATAATTCCTAAAAACATTGTTCTATCGCAAACAAAATGCCGCAAGCCTAATTATAACATCTAATGATTTCATAATTCCGAAAAACATGTTTTATAGCGAAGTAAGTCGAAGCAACCCTGAAGAGGATACATCATGATTCAGAGCCTCACTTGGTCAAAAATTTCCCGTTGACGATAATAGGTAATGGTATTCACAAAGCCGTCATCCTCTACTTTTCTTTCGAAATTCCTTTGAATCCTACTCAGAATCCCCTTGGAATATAAATTCTCCTCAGAATTACTTTGGAATTCTAGTTGAAGAAGCTTTCCTACAATCCCTACAATTCCTTAAAAAAATCCTAAGAACTCCTTTGTAACTCTCATTGAAATCCATAATCCAGATTTTTTTACCTTCCTTTCGTTCGTTCATAACTACAGTGGATCTCTGAAAAATTGTTTCGCACTTGAACATTTGGCTCCGGAGATATGGTTTTTACAATGAATTATCTAAATCGTTGTTGAGAGACTGACAAAACCAAAAAACATTTTTTTAATCATTTCCGAGCGCTTATAATGATGTCTTAGTTCAAGTCAAGTTCAATTAGAATGTAGAACCTGATGTGGATTGATAACTTCGCTTAATCTATCCGATATGTTGAATATACAGGAGTTCAAAATGTGTAAACCGTCGTGTGCGATTTATTTTGAATTAACTAAATACAATTTTGTTTTATAGTTTGATATGCTTAACGTCAGACTTAAAGTGAAGATTTTATACGATAGATGAGGAGATGAAAGTATATTTTATTTTATTTCTCGTCAATTAGTGAAGACCGTAGAATTGATAGTTGAGGAAGGTACGAGTCGGATCGAGCGTTCCCTTTACCAAACTCATCCGTTGATGAGGGGCGATGAGGCATGTTTTCCCTCGCCACCACTGACAAAAAGAATGATGTGCCGATTCACTTAGTTACCTCCGATGTGCGGCAACGGTTCTATCGATTGTTTTTCGGATAAACATATTGGGTACACTTAAAAGCTTTTTTACCGAACTGGCCACCAAATATTTTTTTTCTGTTTTCGCTTCTATTTTTGAAAAAAATGTTGCAATCTTAATACATAATTTTTCCCACATACGTGGCGCCATACTGTCAGTAGTTGTGAGATCAAATCTGACAGCTTACAGTAATTCATTTGTTAGTTCTTCTTTGTTAGTTTTTTTTATATTTCAGTTAGAACTTTGCCTATTGATGAATTTACGCGAAACTGCACCAATGCATTTGACCAGGGATTTTTTTACATTCATTTGCCTCTAACTTTTTTTATCAACAAAATTCCTTAAAATAGTGTTTGAGGCTTTTATGTTAGCTCAACTCAAATCTGTATCTCTTATGCATGATGAATTAGAGCGATTAGAATCCACCATTGTTTTTCATTCACTGAAAAACAATAACATGTTCTGCCAGCTCTATTTCATCGTGCATAAGAGATTAATATTTTAGTTATTGTAGTTAATATCAAACGCTACAAAAGCTTCATACATAATTTAACGGCATTCTGTTGATGAAAAAAGTTAGAGGCAAATGAATGTAAATGAATGCACGAAATGAATGTAAATGATTTTCCATCCCTGCATGCGACACCTAGGTTTGAAATCCAAAACCACAAAAGTGATGATGTACTAAAAAATATTCCATACGATTTGACAGTTAGCAAAACGTCATTATCATTTTCACATCATTTCCATCTGCTGGTCGACCGTCACGTTAATTCATCAATTGGTGCATGGAATGTCTCTAAAATAGGATTTAATAGTTAATGTGATCAGTATGGACAAGAACTAGTAATATGAATTGTTAATCAAACGGTTCTACTTATCACAGTACCTTTTGGTATGTCCTGAAATTAAACTCATTGACAAAGTGTCCTTAAAACTAGATGGCGCTTCGTTACGTGACTATGATAAGCACTTTGTTAGATTTCGACGTACAGTAACTGACTGAGAAACCTCTGCTATATGTAATTCGGCCAACAATCCCTAAACCAATGTCTACAACATGACCGTTCTTCTACCCTGCCAATTTAGACCCGTCCGCAAAGTCTGATCATCCCAATTACACGTAAATTTCGATGTCTAACACTTCCTAATCCAATCTCTTATCAACGCACACGTCGTAAAGGCCTCGACCTAGTTCTGAAAAGCAAAAAACTAGAATCCCCAAACTCTACACGACATGTTGTCTGGGGATTCACAGAGCTTGTGATGAAACACGACAACGAAGCAGATAATCCATGTTTCCGATCCCAGCATGGGACAAATAGAAAAGTCTTTAAACACGGAAAGGTCACCGGCACGTGCCGCACAGGGAAGCGCATTAATCACAATTACGTTGATCTCTCACTTAGAAGAATTTACATCCACAGTGGTAATGAGTACCGTACATAGTTCAGTTTGCGTGATTGCGTTGGATACTGAAATGATCGCACTCGAGCACCAGATAATATTGCTTAAGCTAGGTGTGAAGCATTTCGTTTCTGTAATGAATTATACAGGAAGATGGCTTCGTGTTACGACCTTCAAACGCCTCGCCTGTAACGTTCACACCAGTCATAAACTGCCTGGATGCTGTTTGTCCCGATTCAAATCACTTGCGTAAATATTTTCAATTGTAAGCTATCGTTGTTATGACCGCCATGGGACCTGCACAGAAACGTGATCTGTGGACGCCACAGAGTTATTTGCTCTGAATTTGAATGATCTTGAACGAACGAAGTACGGCGAATCGGGAGCTTAGAAAACTATCTCACTTGGCGAATCTCTTGGTGTCTCACAGAGTCAACCGATCTGGAGGAGCACTCGCGAACTCGGAACAGCACGTTTCAAGCTCACACTTTGACGAGAATAATCGATTTCAGCTTAGCGACCGAACGGAGACTGAGCCGCCCTGCCAATTGGTGATTGTTTTTATACAACTGATAGTGGCAGATTTAAAAAATGCTACTCTATGACACAGGAGCGAGATGGAGAATATGACCACCGAGTTGGTTCCTATCGCCATCTTTTTGCAACTGAAAGAGGAGCTGGCTCATCGCTCTTCCTTTTTCCGTCACCTTATCGACGCAGTTCAAGATGTTCAGTTGTGGAAAAGCGCGAAAAAGCCATAACAATAAATGAACTTATTGATGGGTCCATGCAAGTGCTAGCAGGAATTGCATTCAGTTTACTGTTTAGCCTGTAGTATCACGCAAAGGATCTACCGTCCTTGGTAGAATGTCGTTTGTTGCGATAAGCACACGAGACAGCAATTGAAATAAGTCAGGAGTGGCACTCCCTTGGTAGTACAGATGCCAACCAAAACGTTTACTTAATCGAATGTTGATTTTCAAATTGGAAACTAATTATCAATAAAAATACATGCACGTATCACCTTTATGTTACGTTCTACGATATCAAATTACAAATATGTATTATTGCCTTTAAAAATGTTACACCTGGGTGGTCAAATCAGGATAGCTTATAATAATTAATATCAGCTTTAATCTCTTCTATTTCCTTTAAATCTTTATATAGCAAAAACGGAAAAAAAAAATCATAAGATCACACGTAAACGTAAGCCCGTCAATCGTCCAATTTAAATATTGATTTATGTTTATTCGAGCTTAGTGGGAAACACGAGCCTGCATCCTACATCTACCTGGCAGGAAAAAGCGATATAGAATGTTTATAGCCCACAATGCAGTATATTCGTTGATCCGTAGGTTGCACTTCACTTCGTGAAGTATTTATAAACACTATTGCTATCACCACCGCGACCGCCAGCCCTTATCCCTGGATCAAATTCCAACTGGGAAATTCAACCAGTACGTGCCCAAGTAAATTTATTGGGCTTTTAATCTACCGAGGCCTAATTGCCAATTTTATGTATAGACAGTAACTTTTTAAATCGCAACCACATGGAGCGAATGCAAATCATCGGTGCATAATAAGTTCACCATGTCATCAATTTCAATAAATGATTTCTAGTATAACCACTCACGATGGCATTGAGCAAGAGTCCACCGAACAGTTAGAAAACGCTGTTCACTAGTTCTTATCGCTGCTCATTTCAGTGACGTCTAGGTCACGCATCACCGAAGAAGAATCTATACAAGAAAGCACATTCTTCCATCCCTACCGGTCAAGAAGCAATGCTCTCACACAGATTACCAAAAACACAAACACCATGTGGCTAAATAGTACGTGGAGGCACGATCACGTCGTTGCCAGATGCCCCGAATGATGACGCAAATTTTACGCCGTCGCGGGATCTGGATCTGCTTTGATTTGTGTTGCTTCGCTTGCGCTGTTTGCTTTGTCCAGCTTACTGTCGAATGTGGCGAAAGAGAGGTTAAGGTTGCCAGGACCCATGGGCGCTATCAGGTAGAGAATCCCCACCGTTGAAATTTTTCGTGACTAAGCAATGGTCGGATCAGACATAATTTAAATTTGTACATTCACGAAAATAGCAGACTTTGGTTTCTCAGTGATGATTAGACGCCATGATTGCACATTTTCGTAGGATGATTACTACTGCATGAATTGACATGAAACGTACAGAACTCTAAGGCTATGAATCGTGCTAATATCAGTGTTGATCCTTACCTGAGTCCAGATATAGATCGGATTGGTGGTTGGCCGATAGACCTCGAGCTTCGGCTTACCATCCTCCGTGATTTGTCGCACGAAGGGAACAGCCGTCCGAATGTTTTCTTCCTTTGTGCCCATTTCCATCTCGAAAAAGCGTATGCTTCTACGAGAGTCAGTACTCATTGACTTTGACTGTTGGAAATGTTTTCGCGAGGAAATGTAATCTTCGTCCTCGCTCGAATCTAGATCCTGAAAATGGGCGAGATTTTTTTGAAATTGCGTCAATGCTTGATCGGACTGCGCTCGGTTTACTTTCAAATCGATGACAACGGGCTTGGTGATATCGGCGTCTATCTTGAGCAACGAGGTCGACGGTTCGAAGTCTTCTTCACTGCTGGACGGTGACGGTTCCTTCTCGAACTTGAACGAAATATGGCGAGCGTCGAGGCTTTTGTGTTTGCGCTCCTGGAACTGTTTGCGTTGGTGTTCGAAGTCGTCCTCGGAGGACGAAGCCTTCAGCAGCTCTTCGAGCACCTTGGAGCTTTGGACATCCAAGGAGACATGTTTTTTGCCCTGAAACTGTCGACGGTTGTCGGTTGCGAGCAGGTGCCGGAGTTCCTGGAAGAAATCCATAATACATATTTAGTTGTTTGAAGAGTATACTTATTGAAATTTCTTATTTGTGTAGCATTCATAATCAACCGAATTGGTTAAGTAAAATGAAGATTTTCGTCAATATTGTTCAACTTGACTTCAATATATTTGTAAGCTAATCCTTAAATTAAGTTAGATATCTGTGAATCTGATATTAGTTATTGTTAGGGTGATACAGAGTCCCCCAAATAGCCATTAAGATGGCTGACTTGCACTATCACTTCAAACTTTCTAGAGCTCAAATCTCTGACATTATTTCTACTTTGAAGTTTGCTTCTCCATATTTTCTGCATTGCGTGGAAATCAGTTTTGTGATTATATATTTTCTGCTATCAGATATTCAGGCTCTAGAAGATGCGAATTGATAGTGAGATCCACCATAAAAAAAGCCTACCAAAACGTTTTTCTTTAAATATTGCTGTATCAGGAAAAGTTTTTTTTCTTTCTTTTATGCAAAATTTTATTATGCCAACCGGTACTATGGCAAATTGAAGCAAAAAACAACGTCAATGATCCAAAGCGGCAAAAGGTATTGACTCAAATTCAATCATAATCGAATGAAATCTATTTTTTAGTAGAGTGCACTTTTACAGTTCTAGTACTGTTACTCTCATCAAGAAGTAAGAACAAATGGTAGGGAAAAGTTTTGACTGCTCTTTCTTCCTCCTTTTCCTACAATTGGAACTCATCCTGAACTAGAATAATAAGCCATTTTGTAATATTTTGTCTTATGAATTCTGAAGTAATTCATAATTTGAAGCTTGAACATATTTTTACTAAAATTCTTGTAAAATCAGTGTTCAGCGTAGGATATTTATTTCAAATAGTGCTCCGTAGCATGAAAAGCTTGAATATCCTTCAAGGATAAGCGAGACAGAGAGCCACAACACTGTATCAACATCTCAGAATCTTGAATATTATCCAATTTAGAATTAGATTTATGCAGCCGATACCTATAAAAAAAACTAGGTTTAAATTATCTTCCAATCCCGCTGGAACTCCTCATAGGATTTCTTAAAAAAATTCTCTAGAATTTGATTAAAATCATTTTACAATGTCTTCATCGTTCTTTTAAAATTTCCCCTAGAATAATATTGGAATTATTTTTGGTATTCCATTATACTGCCGCTCTTCGCATGTCGGTCCCATATTCGTTTTTGTCAAAACTGAGTTTTTCAAGGCAAATGGTAGCTAATTACCCATATTTTTATAATACTAGATGAACTCAACAACTTTGTTCCGATAGTGTTGCAAAAATATCAAATAATCAAATCTCACCAATGCCCGAGATCACGCTTGATTTTCGTAGATAAAAATCAGCAAACAAACATCTGCGGTTGATTTTGAAGCTGTAATATCGCAGCTCTGAATATCAAGCTAACAAAACTCACCAACTGCAAATCTCACCAAACTGTGGTGAGATTGAGTTTAATGATTTTTGCTTTACACCCGAATGCAACCGAAACATCCAAAATGGCTGGCAGCAGTCCCTTTGTGTCTGCCATCGGTGAAGAGTATAAAGAGATAGCAAACTTTAATTTCGCTTTCTAAGAAAACGATGTGGAACGGAATCATTTTTGTGTCGAGTCAGCTCTCAGCTTGATTTTTGCACGTTGTGAATAGTCTCGCAATATCAAAGGAGCTTGTAAAATCAATATCAAGCATGATATTTTGTTCCAATATCACGCGAGCGTATGAGAGCGGAAAAATATTATTTGATTGATGATTTTGCCAACACTTGTTCCGAAAACCTTTGGAAAGACACTCAAATTAGTTGTCCCATGACATAAGAAGCAATGATACGAAGCAAACTTTATACGCGATTTTCTCGGCTTGCTGATTTTCACTGACATGCGAAGAACGGCAGTACAGTTCTTTCCGCAACACCCAACATATACCTATTATGATATTCGTTTCTACAGATCTCTTTGAAATTTCTATCCATAATCCTCTTCATAATCGCCATAGAAAATTGCTGATAATCCCCTTGATATACCCTTTGGAAGAGCCTTGTAAATATTCTCAGAATTGTTTTGGAATTCACCTTTTTTTACTTAGTTTTCATTTTCTTCAACTTTGAGTTTTGAAGTTCAGGCTCCGCATTCATCCGGATAGCATTCGACCTATTCCGCTTCTTATTTTTTCATAATTCTGTAACTCATCCTGCCCTCCTCTGCTTACGGCCTTGATATCTATTTTGCACTATATTTTAACTGCTAAAGAGCAAACTTCCGATTCAAATTGTGTATCAGTATTGAAGCTTTTATCAAGACCGAAGCGTCTATATGTAATTAACTGGTTGCATTCCAACTTGAAATCAAGCAATATGCCTTGGGTTTTGATACAGTTTTTACGGTGCAATTGTAGGTACATATTCTGTAGTACAAAAAACTATCAGTTATTCATGTAGATATAACCAAAACTGAACTGCTTTATCTTCAGTATGTGTTTTAGATCGGTGAAAATTGGAGAATTTAAGTTTTAAGGGGGTAGGCGTGATCATAACTTTATCAAGAACAGTAGTTCATCCACAGCAAAAGGAACCAATCTTTCATTAGCCAATTGGCATACCTAAAAAAAAAACGAGAAGAAATGTCAGGCCGCCATAATAGCACTTAAAATATGGTGGATGGTAGACTGTTTTGATTCTAAGGCTCGAAAACTTTGCCAAACTAGCTAATCTTAAGACATCTTAACACGTTACAGAAAAAAATATGTAAATTGCTGCGATTTACGTACATTTGGCGTAAATTTACATTCATGTAAATTTAGACGAAATTAATATCGCATGAATTTGCAATATTGTGAACAAGTTTGTTAATAAGTTCGTTATTTTCATCAAGTTAACGTGATACGATACAGAGTCCACATATGTTGACGGCTTATGTATGGATAAAATCCCATCAAATTTTCTATAGCACAAATTTTGGACACTATTGCGACTTTGCGCATGAAATTTGTTTCTCCAAATTTTCTGCATTGTAGTGAACGTTGGGAAGCTGTTTTGTTATTGTATGTATTCTGGAAGCTGATCATAACTGAAACATAGTCGGTCCTAACTTTGGCATATTACGTCATTTGTGAGTTGTCTAGGAATAAGACTTGAACTCGAAACCTTCAGCTTAAGATGCATGGATGCTAATGCCGCGGATACACTTGCATGACAATGTATGAACATGAGCATTATTTGTATAATAAATTATAAGCAAATCCAAAAACTATACAAGTTTGACCGTGAATGTGCTCATAATTTATTATACAAATAATGCTCATGCTCATAATTGGTCACACAAGTGTATATGAAGAAAATAAGCATGTTTAAAAATTATAGGAACCCACCATCTGAACAATCTTTAACAATTTATTTATTTCATAGGATAACAATCATACATTCATGAAATAATATTGCCTTTGTAAGCAATGCTTTCAAATGCCAAGTGCCTGTGAATTACGCCAAAGAAGTCAAGTATAGTGTGGTTATATAACAAAAAGATTAAATGCTCATTTAAAGAAAGCAGTAAAGCAAAAATGCTCCTTTACTGCGTAGCTACTCAGATTTACTGCCCTGTCCGTGTTTTTTACTCAAAGGAGCTGAGCGAGCAAGCGTCTAGAAAAGCTTCCAAAAGAAGAAAAAAATGAGCCAAAAACAAAACTGTGTTTCATGCTTTAATTCTTCTATTTTGTCGAGAACTAGTATTATGCCAAAAATTAATACTGTTACCCTATGGTGCGCTTTTAAGTCACGCAAAAAAATGGCTTGCGGACAGCGACTATACTGGAATGAGATGGAATTAAGCACATCTATGTAAATTTACTTTCCATGTCCGCGTAATTTCCGCTAGTTGCGTTATTACATTCGCGCTCTAATACATTCTAAAACAGTGCGTTTGCGTTTTGAAATATTGTTTTGAAACATGGATGATTCACTGATCACACGCTCCGTGACATGCTTGCCGAAAGCAGAAAGTGCATTCTATTTACATTCTACTAACGCCTAAGATAAACCACCCGACCAACTAACCTTTATCAGCTGATTCTTGTGCTCGGAGGTACTATGGCTCTTGTTTTTCTGAAAGTGCTCTCGCTGCTTGCGAAAACCTTCATCACTTTCGTCGAATCGATCCTCCTGGTCGAAGGATACGCGCGATCCCTTCAGCGAAGATTTGCTCTTAGCTTTCGATTCAGCAGTGGTAGAGGATTTCTGAACCGGTGGATCGAGGAACGGATTCGTGTCATCAGTTTCCAAGATAGGGCTAAACGTTCGCTGCGCTCCAACTCGAGGGGTGCTGTTAAGGTCTTCGGCGTTGGTATCCAACACGATGGTATCCAAGCTGGTGCCCGTGGTCGATGTGGATAGCGATCCTTCTCCGGTATTAACACGCTGGTAACCGTACTGCAGGGGATCGCGTGTGTCATCCTGGGAAATAGAATTGGTTGATTCAGATATGAGTAACTGCTGAAATATTCTGGTGGGATGGAAATACCAATCATGAGATTCTACTTGGGTCTTCCTTCTTACACAACTTATCATTGTCTTGACTTTGTACACCTTCTCACAAAAATATATGCTTATTGAACAGTATTCATAAATAGGTACTGAGTTTTCAGCTTGAATCAATTGTAACCATTTGAACGTTTGAACTATAGCTCAGCCAAATTGGGCTAACAGATTAAGCAGCCAGTATAAATATGTTTTTCCTTCGACAAGTGAGCGCCACCGCAAACTGGTTTGAAGCAGTTCGAGATCAGCCTCCAGGCGAGTGCTCGCGGTATTACGTCAATAAACAAGGGATTGCAAGTAGGATCGTACAGTACGGACCATACTAGATGCTACTATTCTGTTCCCTTATCAGAAAACGTGGCTGTGTGTACACAAATTCCGAAGATCCTCAGGCTCCATAAAAAGAAATATACAACAGTAGGACAATAATAATCTGGAATACGTTCTGACAGAACAGAAGCGGGAAACAAACGACGGAGCTTTGTTTACATGCGCAACGTTAATAACGAAACCAAATGCAACAGTTAGCTTTATTTTGGGTCAAATTCCGGGTTTCCATTTGTGAATCCATGCCGATGGTGGTCGTAAAGCAGGTCGAGGGGGGGGGGAATATCAAGGGACGATAATCATCTAATAATTTCATAATCTTTTTTTTTTTTATAGTTTTTGTAACATTAGCAAGTTCTAGTACCTTGGGATTAACTATGGGAAATGCTTGGGTAAAAATTCAAAATCGTTGTGGACGTTATTTTTTAAACACCGAAAAAACAATCTGTTTTTAAGAGCCAAAAAAATGATTATTTTCTATTTAATTCCACTCAGCATTTTGTATCTGAAAACAATAAGTTTTTTTCTGCTCTTATGAGTATTTCTTAGCTCAGTCGGTAAACGCGCAATTATAAAGCAGAATCATGCTGGAGGCGACTGGGTTCGATTCCCGGTTCGGTCTAGGAATTTTCCGGATTGGTACATTTGTCGACTTCCCTGGGCATAGAGTACGATTGTACTTGCCACACAATAATGCTAATGCAAAAATGGTACAGGCTTGGAAAGCTCTCAATTAATAACATTGGAAGTGCTCAAAGAACACTAAGTTGAGAGCCGGCTTAAAGTCCCAGTTGTTTTTTTTTTTATTTTACAAATCGTCGCAAGATGACTTTTTGCAAATTTTGGATTAGGATTTAGGATTGCCAGTTCAGAGATTGAACTAGCAATGTTTCTTAACAGATCCTCGCAAAAGAATTAAAAATGGAATTTTAAACGCGAGAAAGTCATTTTGCCCCGGAGTGCATTTTAATCCATTTTACACTACATTAGTATTAGAACAAGACACTGAAGAGGTGTGCGCATTGAAGACAATAGACGCATATTTGTCAAGGATATGCAATTCAGGTAGTGGAATCAATGGAAATTCTCTCATTTATATTATTATTCTCTCAAATATTGTTCAGAGTGCCCACTGTTTCAGATATATGAAAGCTAAAAATAGCTTGAAGTGAGCTTTCATGTTTCAAGAAGCATGTGAATAAATTTGACATTGATTGATAGCTCATTGGTTCAATTGTAGAGTCAGTCTTCGGTTTACCCAGATTATTACCATACCATATTACACTTTCTATGGAACGGTTAAGCTGCAACTAATTTTATCCGATAAATAATTTACTGGAGATGCGGTGTTTGTGTAAAGAATGTACACAGCAAAAATAGGTCGGAGGAGGAGGGTGTGAGGGTGATTCATTAGTAGAATCAGGGTTCCTTCCATTCATTTCGGCAAAAAAATGTTTTATTAAATTATGAAATACTAAGATATTATGATAATATTTTGTTTGCGTAAGCACCAAGAAAATATTGTTAAGTTTGTGTTTGACACATAATACCTGCCAATTTTGCTACATGAAAGTCGCTATAAGCGATTTTGTCATTTATCTCACCCACTCTTCGCTCTTCACTCTTCGCAAAAAAGCGATCAGAAAACCACTCATTGTGACTCTGTCAAAGCTCAATTTGCAAGTTTTATGTGTCAAACACAAACTTTACAATCTTGTCTTGTTGCTTACGTAAACCAATTATTATCATAATATTTTATTATTCCATAATTTAATAAAACATTTTTTTAGCCGAAATGAATGGAAGGAACCCTGAGTAGAATACACTTTTAGAATGTTTAAACTTGTAATAGATTCTTAGGCATGTTTGAGTTCAGGATCTCGTATCTTGTTAGTGTTGCATAATTCATTTTTGTTTTAATTCAGGGCTATTGATTTTTTTTTTCGAAAGCCACTAGGGCATTAACTATTATGCAAAAGTCATTTTGTAGAAAAATATTACATCAAATGGGACACTTGACCAAATTTCAGAAGGTGATTTTAACATTTCTATTAAAATCTGGAATTAGGGCGTAACAGCCTTTGTAAACAATGACTTCTATCGATGATTTCTAGGTACTCAAGGCACGCCCACGCAATGGTGGTGAGCCTTATGTCGTTTTCGTTTTTGCGGTGTAGCTACACCGTAACTACACTGCCGTACACCGAAATAATTTAGGATGCACCTTTGTTTACAAACAAATGATGTTGAGCTGTCAAATACTCGCGCTTATTCCTGCTTACACTATACCGGTGCTACACCGCAAAAACTGAAAACGACATTAACTGTCTAGAAATCAAGCTGTTACGCTCTAATGTCAGCTCTATCTAGATTTGATTTGACATAAATTGAGATCCAGGGGATAATTTTCGATCGTTATTTTTATTATACCGTATAACGAAGAAGTCATTAAACATGACCACCTAATGATCCATTTAAGCTAGTGTCATTTTCGACTTAAAAGCATTTGGTTGAGTGACGTTCAGCCTTATTGTATTTGACCTAATGACCAACCACCACAAATATATCTCGAGCAACATTGAAGAGAGCTTATAAGCCTAATTTAAACAATAATTTAAGAACATCAAATCATAACACCCCCTCACAAACTAAATATAGTAGCTGATAAAGCAAACTTCCTCAGATGCTGCTGTCGGTTTTCCTGACATAGAGCTCAATTATCAGCTATTTCTGCCCGTGATTGGTCACAACTAAAATTGGTAGCTCAATAGATAAACATTATACAGCTTTGTTGGATCTAGTATACTTTTTCATCCCTTTAAGTTTCAGAACAACAACATTGCCCAAAAATCAAATCACCGTTGTTTACATTCAATCAATTACCAATAATAATAAAAAACATTATTTTACCAACAGCGATGGAAAAAACACGTGAAACATGCGTGCGACGCGACACGAATCCAGTTCACGGTGAATGAATAACACTGTCGCATGCCGCTTGCCTAAGGGGGATTCCATGAAGTGACGTCATTCGTAATCTCAAAAAGAGCTCCGATCCCTCGAACTCGAGCTATGTACATGTTTATGCTACAGTTTCGACTAGTAACCGCTTAGTGGCGCTTCAGCCACTAAAGAGAGCTACTGTATACTGATAATAGTCCTCTCACGCTCTCTGTGTTTTTCAAACTATCTTCTCTGCATGAACTGAGAGATGAACAATTCTATCAAACACATAGAAAGGAATGAAACGACGACGGTCACATGCATTTCATCGCGTCGAGCAGCACATGCTCAGTAGTACACGTTCAAAGACGCCTGTGCGTCCTCCGGAGATTGGTTTTTATTAGCGCTACATTTACTATCCTACCGTGGAGCAAGCATCATATCTGATTGAAAAGTAGACTGCAAATTATGACTGGAATTTTATTATATTTCAAAGAAAGCTACTGGCAGGTGGTGAACTGTTTCTAATGTAATAAATTACCGCTGTTTACTTGTTGCTCTGATTTGTTGTGACAGATTCAATTAGGAAGTGTGTTGATAGTACGTCTTGTTACATCTGTGACCTGTGATGCGTAAATTGACCGCTATTGCTGGTCATTTGCATGACAGTCAAAATAAATAGCTTTCCCTGTCTGCCCGCAATGTGCCACAGGGTACAAAACGTGCAGAGCATTCTTGAAGTGAAGCCAAAAACGTTCTTGCTATTATTTTGGCAAGCTTCTGATGTGCGTTCGATTATGAAAACAAAACGCTACCGACTAGTTACATCACTTATTGTTTGCCGGTTCAATTAGGTTAACTTGAAGTAGAACCTGTTGAATGCGTCTGAAACGTTTACCTTGTTTAATTTTATTCGACGCAATTAAAAAATCTGATGCCATTTACGTGATCTGTGAAGCATGCAAAAGTTCAAGGTAGTGCAAAAACCGTAACCACCGGAGCCGGAGGCCATCAGCAACAAAAATACATGCTGACATTTTACGATCCACTGAGTTTAGTACGCCAAATTTCTGACCGGGATGTTTGTAAACAGTATAAAATCTCACGTTCTCAAAACACTTGACAATCACACAACCTTACAGCACAAATCGTACAAACCGGTGAAAATAAATTAAAAATAGCTCCCTAAAATCCACCACAGTACGGTTTAGATTAGAAAATGAAAATTTAAAATATTTTGTAACATTCTCCTATGCTTGAATTTGGAGTTGAACATTCTGAAAAATACCGATTCTAAAGCTTCCGGGATATTTTATCAGGCTACACAGAATGTGTATACAGAATAATCTGTCAATACGTTTTTTTTTTAAATATAAACGTGTTTCAGTTGGTAGGTAGTTAAATATAGCTTGCACCCACGGTTTTCTGGTAGCAAAAAAATGAACACGGATTTTCAGCAATGTGCTCAGTGACGTAAATTTGCGCGCAAAATAAAGTAAACACCATTGAGTCGTCACTGTGCTAATATTGACGTAGTTTTCACGTTCCAATGGTCTCAATATTGAGAGAAAACGGGCTACAAAAATTCGCCCTCTTCTCAAAGTCAATGGTCCCGAGAGCCAGTATCAAGAGTGGTTTGCTGCTGGGATCATACATATATCAAGCATGGTTGTGAATTCACGATATGAATTGGATAAGCACAACCGCTTATTGACGACAGCTACTTTTTGTATTGATCCCGGCAAAATCAATCGTTCAACTACATCATGTGATGGACAGTCGCCAGTGTTGACGTCTAGGAATTCAGTACCATTGCTACAGGTCGTGTTCTTTGAACCGATTCTTACATTTGAAATTTGACCGTCCAAAAGTCGAAAACCTATTTTTGTTCACTACACACAGCACTCCTCGTGTCACCCATCTGTAGAAGACCTCGAAATCTCAGGATCGGTACTTTCGAACTTCGCGAAGATTGAATCGCGACTTACCCCTTCGTTTGTCATCGTTCGCTTGATTTTGTCAACGATGCGGCCCACTGGGCCGCCCTGCCTATTTGCGCTCATTTTTGCAACTTAACTGAAGCACCGTTTCTTCTAGAGGTTACCGTTTTTGCTCCGCAATTTTTTCACAACGTAACAACGCTTGATTTTATACTAATCTCGTGTACCTTTGCCCGACCATAAATTCAAACTTTTATCCAATAGTTTCACTTAACGTTTTTTTTTTTTTCGTCACTGCGGGCTTGTAACAATCACTTTTTTTTATATTCTACTACGCCTTCTTTTTCTTTCAAGGCGTTTCTAGCGCCAATTCCGATTTTTCAGTAGCACCTTTCAATATCGAAAATTATTGCTTCGTTTGCCGATTGAGGTTTTTCTGTTGCTAGTTTTGCTTGCTTTGGTTTCAGTTTTTCAGCTCCTTTTGAGGTATATTGCATCTAAGGTCAAAGTGTTTTCAAAACACGCAAAAAAAACTGGCACATACACTTGACGGGGACAACCTTATTACCGGCTGATGCACTGTTACACTTGCTCTCAAATGTCAATTGCGCAAAAAATTCAACGTCGATGTCAAAAATACTACTATTGCTTTCTATTAATTTGAGATAGTAGAACAATGGTTTCGTGGTGTGTCGCGTTCGTACTCGCGGGTACTACTGCGTACGCGGTTTTATTCATCAAAGATCTGAGTTGGTGCAAGCGGTGTTGCTTAAATAGTGTTTCGCAGAGAACACGTTGTTATATCCGAACGTGAACGAATGAGGATTGTAAACAGAACACAGCCATAGCCAAGTGGTTCACCCGTGCACTACAAGCTCAAACCAACACATACATGGGAAGCAATTTGCCGAGGGAGATATCAATTACTATTTTTGCTAAAGAAACTAAGTCGTCACAGCATATGCAATTTATGCTACAATCTCATATTGTCACCCCCACCCCAACCTCCACCCACCCACCATTCCACTTAAGCATGTTTCGAGCCATGCTCATCCGCGACACCTTCTGGAATGTTCTTTGGCATGGTTGAAGGATGAACTTATGCTGCACCGGTTATGTTGGTGTTGGTGGTAGTGGAATTTTCCGATGCCTTTTCTTCTTTCTCCCGTACAAACCAACATCCGAAACGAATACGCATGAAAGTTGTGCACCTTGGATAGCTGAGGCGCACCGATGGGTAACGTTATTTGGTAACGGTCTCATTTCCCTTGTAGTAAGAAGGAGACCACATCGCCACTCAAAAGACCTCCATGATGCACTTTTTATGCAACTCTATCTACGTCTGTTACCACCGGAACAGCATAGATACTCAAAATAAACCCAACAAAGTTGAAATATGTGTCTGCGTTTGAATTCGCGGCGGTTGCAGTTTTTGATTTCAATCACTTCTTCTTGTCACTTTGAATGTGCAAGAGAAATCCGATTTTATAATTCCGTCTACTTGCATATTGACAAGAATTAAAAAAAAAATATGTGACAGTTTAGATCTGTGGAAATTTTTACTGTTGAATTCTTCTAAACTTTATTGATTATGATGATGGTCCCACCTCTTACCCCTACAAAGGTTTGAGCTGGACGAGTTATCTTTAAGATAATTAAATATAAACATTTGAACCAGGTTTGCAAACAAAATCGAACTGGTTACAATTACAGATATAAATGTCCTGTTAAATATGCTATAGGCATCAACCAAAAACATTCAAAGGTGTAACTAGTTATCAAGATTCCAAGTATAATCCTCGACAATACTTCCATTTGCACGTGACCTGGGATTTACACGTTTAAGCTTCCGCAGTGCCAGGACTATACAAGGAAACGACTTCCAGCCAACCCTTTACTAATTCAAGGCTTTTGCCACAATTTCCACGTATTAGACATTTATACCTGTATTCCGCGCGCGAGGCTCAAACTAAAAATCCATCATCACCATCGAGATAAACAATGTAGTTTTTTGTATATGCTACACAAATTACTAAAATGTCTTACTTCGTCAAGATACATAATTTATCAATTCATAAAAATTTAACTGCTCAATAAATAGCTTTTACATGCGAAATGCAGCGTCTTCTAAATTCTGTAAGTGTAGTTGCACGCTTGATGTGTCTAGGCATCGAATTGAAAACATTTATACCTTTGAAAAATAATGAATTTTGTGAATCATTATTGAAAAGATGTGGTGTTTTTACTTCATCCGCGTTTCTAGTAGTTCTATCAATGAAAATCACTTCCTCTTTCAAACCGATCACACAAATATCGAGGCAGCAAACCGTTAACTACTTTAAAAATGAACACCATAGTCAAAAACACAATTCTTTGCTTCACTGACAGCCATTGCAAAGCTTCCAGCATAAAAGATTATTGTAAAATACCGAATTATTACTATAAGTGTTGTATTATATCTTTTTATAAAGATATTACATCTTTCCCCCGAAGAACGCGTTACCCACTGAGTTGCACCCACCCCTTTTTCTCGGTGGATTTCCAACCAAGCGCTCTGATTTTCTGCGAGTGACTAGTTCTCCATTGACCCTACTCACCTGCAAAAAATCAGACCAGCTGGTTGAAACCCCACCGAGAAAAAGTGGTGGGTGCAACTCAGTGGGTAACGCATTCTTTGGGGGATAGCTGTATACTACCTTTTCATAAGGATCTATTCTCTTCCAGAACATCCATGTAATTTACATAGTTGGAGATGCTTGACATCAAATATCAGACTTGAAGTGGTCATTTTATACGATAAATAAGCAGATGAAAGTATAGAGTTGATAGTTCCGTTAGTTCCATTCCGGAGTTTACCATCAATCATACTGTCGAAAGGTACAGTAGCAGCACCTCTCTTACCCGTGTCTCCTCGAGATCGGAGGAGCACATACAGCAGATGACTTGAGTGTGAAACAAGCGATACCGCATATCGAAGGTACGTGAGCAAATTGGCGATCATCTCTTGTGCCAGTGGTGGCGGGGGCAGATACCCCTCACCATCCCTCCCCAACAGGGGAGTTTGGTAAAGGAGACGATTAACCCGATTCGCGCCTTCCTCAAAGTTTACCTTTGCTCGCTTTCTACTCTCTATATACAATTTTCACAATGCCGTACTCTACACTTTCATCTCCTCATCTGTCGTACAAAATGTAACTTGCCTCGAAAAATCGATCGTATGCAAAAATTGTGCTCAATCGGACATGATTTCAAATGGCTTAAAAATGCATGAAACGTCGAGATCTGAGCCATCTCCAAAATAAAAATTTGCTATCGAAAATCGACATTCTGGGTCTTGGGAAAATTTTATTTTCGTGAGCCCCCATGATAGGGTAAATTATGGCTTCGGCACAAATTGACTGTTTTCGGCAACCGAAATTGAAACGTTTATTTCACTGTATTTTCCCATCAAAACTCTTCGCTGAATGTATTAAGCCGATTCCTTACCTTTTCAGCTTCAATCTGATTACATTTTTACGACTGTGAATTCCTGTTATACCATATTTTTCATTAAATGAAATATATATACTACAAAATACGGCTGATTTCGAGTTACCGATAATAGAACAGCTGGTTAACATGCAGTTCAAATGGAAAGGGTGCCGAAGAAAAAGAGACTGCCGACAATAGTCACTCTCACCTGAGAAGTTTGGAGCGTTGTAAAAACATGTTCAAACCCGTTTTGATCAATTCTGTCGATTGGAATTGGTAGAACAGCAAGCAGCAGATAATTGTCAACAAACAAACCTGTCATGTATGTGTGTGACGCTGAGAAATCGCTAATAGAAGTTCGGACGCTGCTTAGATTGACGAGAATACCTAAATTCCCCTATGTAACATTGATATTCACATTCACATCTATCTCCAAACCACTTGAATATAACTTTAAACCGTTACTAGTATTTGTCGAGCGATATTTAACTAGGCTAGCTTGTAATATTTAAAACTTTAAAATACACCAAAAATCATTAATTTTCATTGAAGGCATCTAAAAATACACCAGAAAATTAAATATTCACTCTCCATAAGATACAGTGATACGTTCTGTGTATCCATCATTAGAATACGTTTTAAAATGCTACCGTAAATATTTCGAAAAAGCAAATATCGTACAATTATTTTAGTTTTATTTATTAAATACATGCTGTGGAGCAAGAGTTGAAAAGTCGGAGTCAGAGACAGAAGAAATTTACCGAATTGAAAAGTCGCAGTCGCTGAAATTATGCCGACTTCGACTCCGACTTCTAGATAAGAATATATTTGAGATTATGTCTATATTTGAGATACAGTGCATATTACTTTTTTAGGGTCATAATCGTTGCGACCAACACAATCTGTCCGTGTCACATGTTTAATGCTAGTCGTAGCACCTCATTACTATGCAATAGTAATGAAGTAGTCGATTTCGATACAGTTATCATCCATACTTGATCTTCTCACAAGAATTGTCATTCAATAGGCGAATCTCCGAACTCCGAAAAGGCGGACTTACCAACAGGGAAAAGCCTTAATACATCGGCAAAAGAGGTTTCCTATGGTGGTTTTCCTCTACTTGCCTACAGGGGAAACTTATCGATACGCGGAAAAAATGGTGTATCCAATTAGATCCTTAAAAGAACAAAACTGCTTTTTCATTCTCCTCAACTAGATTCTAGGGTCTATGGCGTGCCAAGAAGAAAAGATTTTTTTCAGGCGTGTTGTAAGGCTGGTTTTGCTTTACTTAAATCGGTGATGAGGTTAGTAGAGTATGTACAATGGGCTGGAGTGTACTTAAAGTTATCTGACCTGTTTTTGGACGTGTGGTTTCGGTGATTTTTGCGATACGGTACAGTGATAACAACGGTAAGGTATAGGAGAAAAATCTTAAAGAGAGAGCACCCGATGTATGTATAATTTTAAATTTTTAGTTTTTTCTTGGTTTTCGTTTAGATATATAGATTTTAACTTTTAAAACCCCGTATGCATAACCAAATTTTTAATAAATACTTTATATATAAAATAAAATCAATTTATAATTATTCTCCCATACCTCGCCATATAAAATTATGAAGCCTTCATCATTTTTCTAGTTCTCCTATTTACCGCAAGTGGCACTTTATGTTACCGTTAGATTGTTAATATTGAACATTACATTTCTCCGCTCTCCACTTCTTTTTCGATTTGCATTGATGGCTCCAAACGCTGTGGCGAATTTGAATATGATCTGAATTTACGGGAGAATTTCAAAGTTTGTATGGGAAACGGCAAAAAAACAGAGCCGAGTAACATTGAATATGTTTACAACGGGATGCTGACAGCACTCACTACCAGAGGGCGAGTCCGCTCGAACGTATGGGCTGGTGGAAAACCGAGCTGAGAATGTGTGGTAAAATTCACTTTTAATTAAAACTATCAATAAGTATAAATTTTGTACGCAATATTATTCCTACACAATATTGCCATTGCTACAAAGAACAGAATGTAGAAATTTGTCCATAGATAGAAGCAATATTTGTACAGAAATCGGAGATTATCAGAAAATCTCCATACTGTAAAACTGGTACTGTTAAGTACTTGCCATTGATGAAGTCTGTAAGTAGTAGACGAAATACGCGCAACTGTCAAAAGATAAGCAATTATAACGGAATTAAAAGGACATAAATCAACACACTCGGAGCAATCATTGGAGCATTAGTGCCATAACTAGTATATTTACCCAATTGTTTTGTTGTTGTAAGTATTCACAGTA